GGGGGGGGGGGGGGGGGGGGGGGGGGGGGGGGGGGGGGGGGAGGGCGTGCCCGTGGGCAGGGGGTGTTGACGCCCCTGCCCCTTCCTCTCTCCCCCTCTCCAGGTCTCTCAACTCGATGACCTTGAGGAGGAGGGACAGATGTTCATCCTGGATTGTGTGGAGCAGTTTTGTACGTGAACTTGTAACTGGGGGTAGGGGGCGCTGTCCAGAGGAGCAGAGACAAGCACCCGGGATTTGGAGTCTGGAGCCTTGAGTTCATGTCACAGCTCTGACACCTCCTGCTGTGTTAGCTTGGACAAGTTCCTTAGCCTCTCTGAAACTTCATCTTTAGAATGGGGGTTAATAATCTTGGCCCTGCTGACCTCTCCAGGGGATACAGCTGAGGAACTGCTTTGTGCAAACCGTAAAGAGCTGTATGGATGCTATGGGGCTCCTCTAAGCTTGTCTCCTTTTGTTATTTGAGAAGGGGGAGGGAGGGGGCTGGGAGCGAGGAATGGAGGGAGCCATGAACTGCCAGAGACCAGGCCCCCCCTCCCTCCTCAGGCACTGCATTATTAGGCAGAGGCTGTGCCTGGCACTGTGTGGTCCTGAAGATGAGTGAGGCACAGCTTTTGTCCCTGAGGAGCTCAGGCCTAGCTGGGGAGATGCATACTCAGGGTGGCAACAGATGAACTCGTGCTGTTCTGCTCACCCCAAACCTGGCCTTCCTTCCCCCTGGGTTCCCTGAATGGTCTCCCCTGGTCCCAGGCCCCCGGAGTAGGAGCCGGTCCCCACATTCTGTTGCTTCTACGTCCTAGGAAAGGCTCACGTCTCTTTCCTTTTCCCACCCCAGCTGCCTCTAGCCCAGGCCAACTCTTAACTGGTCTCTCTGCCTCCACTCCTACCCTTCCAGGCCCTTCTGCACACAGCGCAAAGGAGTTTTCTAAAACCAAATCTATGTCACTCCCCTGCCTAAAACACCCAAATAACTCCCCTTTGGCCAAAGGATAAGCCCCACCCTCCCTACCCCAGCCCTAGTGATCTGGACCCTGCCAGCTGCCCCAGCCACTCCCTCCTGGTGTCCTCTGGGCCTCTCCACACCCTGCCTGGGCCCTGTCTTCCCTTCTGCTGGGCGAGCCCCATTTCCCCGGGGAGGTCCTAGCATCTCAGACCTCGCCAGGCTGGCCTGGGTGCGGCAGCTGTGACCCCCGATGCACCCTTTACGCTTGCTGCATCCTAGTCCATAATATGCACTATTGTGATTTCTTTTTCCCGCAGTCTCCACACTAGTCTTGAGCTCAGTGTGGGCTGAGGCCAGGTCTTGCTGACTGCTTGTCCAACACCCTGCTCTGTGTCAGTCAGTAAATGTTTATTGAAAAGAAGACCCGAGTGAGGGATACTAAGCCCTGTGGAACCTCGGGTACTTGGCGCGAGCTGAGGGGTGCAGGTGGACAGAGGCACCTGGGAGACTGAGGGCCCAGGGAACCAGGGCTGACCTCTCCTCACTCCTCCCCAGCGGAGGCCAGCCAGCAGATGGCCGAGCTGTCGGAGGTGCTGGCACTCAGGATGCAGAACTATGAACAGCAGCAGAGGGAGGCTGCCCAGCTGCGGGCCCAGGTCATGAAGCTGCAGCAGTGCTGCCAGGCGGTGCGTCGGGGTGTGTGCGGGGCTCCTTGCTCCTGTCATGGCCGCATGGGACCCACACCTCCTTCTCCCTGCCCCCACCCCATGGAGCTCAGAGGCCCAAGGCCCCTCTCTGTGTCAGAGTCAGTGTTGGAGGAGACATCAGAGAGCGCCTCATGCTGTCCCCTCATCCCAAGTTGGGGACCGAGCCCAAAGAGAGACACAGGGTGTTCCAGGAAACAGGCCACGTGACTCCCCACGTTCTTTGGCCTTATTCCATGTGACTTCTTTTTTAAAGAGCTGCCAGAGACTCACTGATGAGCCTGGGAAGACTTGCCAGAAGCAGGGTGTGCGCGGGAGCGGGGAGGTCTGGGGTGAAGTTCACTGGTCTTGGGTCCTTCCAGTATGGGGCTGAGGCTGAGAAGTTGCAGCAGCAGCTGGCTTCGGAGAAAGAAATCCAGATGCAGCTCCAGGATGAGGTGAGGCTACTCTGAGCTCCTGGGGGACCTGGGACCCTTGGGCAGCTGCCTGGCTCTCCTGAGAGGACAAGCTCCTTGCAGCAGGGACTGGGTCTGTCCTTTCCATACCCTCAGGCTCTGGCACAGGGCCTGGCAGGTGGCAGTTCATTTGGGGTCTGAGTGGAGTGGAGTCCGGGGATCACCCTGCATATCATTATGGGGGTCTAGAGTCTGGGCCTCTTGCCTCTTTGCCCAGGCTTCCCCGCCCCCTGGGGAGAGAGTGGGCAAGGCGTCTGGGCTGGGTGTGCCTGCGTCCCAGCAGAGCATGTGGGCGGGTTCCCAGCTGCAGGACCTACGGGAGTACTCTGAGTGTGGGAGCATGCTGACTGAGGCCCAGGAGGAGGTGAAGACCCTCCGCCAGCAAGCCCCGGCGTCCACTGGCTCTGTCACCCGCTACACGCACACTCTACCTCTGGTGAGGCCCCCTGGCTGCCTGCCTTTTACCTCTGTGCGATCTGTGTCTATCCGCAGTCCTTTCCTGTGCCTGGGGGTACGGGTGGGGGGTTCTGTGGGGATCTTCTGGTGATGTCCCCCATCTCCACCATAGGAGGCACTTCCTGATTTCCAGGAGACCCTGGCTGAGGAGCTCAGAACGTCTATAAGGAGGATTATCTCAGACCCTGTGTTTTTTATGGAAAGGTGCACTCTGGGCCCCAGACATTTGCCTGCCCTGCACTCACTCTTGCCTACCTGGTAGGCAGCAGCCTTTCTGGTAGTGGGAGGGGGTTCACCCCACACCCCCGCTCTGACCTCCCTCCCCCACCCCTCCCCCCCGGGGTGCCCCTCCTCCTTCCCCATTGGTCCTCGGCCCCTTCCACTCAACACCTTTCCTCTGTGCACACGTTCTGGGTGTATCATTTCTCCCTGGGATTTTTCTGCATGATGGAGTCCCAGGGATTTCGCACTTTCAGCTTCCCGTTGCCTCGGGACAGTGAAGGCCCTTTTCTATGTTGAAGGAATTATGAAGTGACTCCAGAGGAGACCTCAGATCTGGGGTACGCCGACCAGGAGCTTCCCCTTCACCTGCCCTCACCTTTTTAAAAAAATATATATTTTTTGGCTGTGTTGGGTCTTTGTTGCCGCGCAGGCTTTCTCTCCTTGCGGCGAGTGGGGTCTACTCTTTGTTGCGGTGTGTGGGCTTCTCATTGCGGTGGCTTCTCTTGTTGAGGAGCACGGGCTCTAGGTGCATGGGCTTCAGTAGTTGTGGTGCATGGGCTCAGTAGTTGTGGCTCGTGGGCTCTAGAGTGCAGGCTCAGTAGTTGTGGCACATGGGCTTAGTTGCTCTGCGGCATGTGGGATCTTAGTTCCCCAACCAGGGCTTGAACCCGTGTCCCGTGCGTTGGCAAGCGGATTCTTAACCACTGCGCCACCAGGGAAGTCCCCACCTGCCCTCACCTTTCAGCAGCCAGACAGCCCCCTGCAGCTGGTTCTGTGGCCGTACCACCCTGGAGAAGCCCCTGCTCTCGGGCCGGCTGGGCTAAGAGTTGTTCTGGGAAGGAGCTGCCCCCTTTGCCTTCAAATTTTGTCCCATGGGTGGCCATCTGATTTGAGGCTTCTCCAAGTCGGGGCTGAAGCCTTCCCTTCACCTGACCAGGGGCTGAGAGGCGAATGGGCACTGGCCTAGGAGCTGGAAACAACTGGGACTGAGTCCCAGCTTGATCCCTTTACTGGCTGTGTGTCCTTGGGAAAGTCACTTGACCTGTCTGGGCCTTACTGAAATGGATTTGTTCCTATGGTAACTAGATGTGGGATGGGTTGTGAACGTTAAATAATGAAGGAGGGGGGCAGAGGGGATG